GTGTTTTTAGTAAAGACTTTTTGTTCTCAGTAGGTGTTGAAGGCACTAACGGCACCGCATAGGGAGAAAAACTTGAACCCCTGGTTTTGTAGTACCTGAATGAAACGTCATGTCTGTCAGTAATCCTAATAAATCACCTGCATTCTTCACGACTTTGACACCAAATCATAAAGCCCAGATTTCTCTATTATCACAACTTTATTTCCTTCCAATCACTGTTGCTGTTCTCAGTCTAAAGAGGCTCAGAGCCTTTGAGCTGCTCCACCTGCAGTTTGCATGACGCCAGATCTTCTATTTGGCTCTTTAGTGCCTCATGCCTCTGCGTCAGTTTTTGCATGATCATAGTTACACAGTAAATATTAAGTTCACTGGAAAAGCCAGGCTTTTAAAAAACTGAAAAAAATGGCCCCATTTGCCAAGTTTTTGATGATGTTTTAATATTGTGCTAAGCTAACTCAGTTTAGCGCTAAGTTAACTCAGTTTAGCACAAAGCATCTTGATATTGTCCTTCATTCATGGCCCCACCAGATCGTGATCAGATTGTCCTCTTATCTTTGACTTCCTCTATCACATTCATGTAAAAAAAAACAGTAACATGACAGGTGAAATTTGTAGTTATAGAATATAAATCAAGCACAGACAGACATAAAGGGTGGAACGATTAATCGTGATTAATCAATTATTGAAATGATTGTCAACTAATTTAGTGGTTAAGTGGTTAAATACAAAGAATCTGAAGAACATGATAATTTTTTATTTGATTGATAAATTGCCTGATTAATCTAGAATAATAGATTACTAAAATAATTGTCACAGTCAGATTTTTTTGCAGTGGTCATTCGAGGGATCTTTTCAGTCCTATTGTTAACAAAATAAGCCAGCGCCCCTTCCTGAAAACGTTGTGGTGTCGTAAACGCAGCATATCCAGTGCTGTAATGATGAGCTCCTCTTGGCTGAGCTGGCTGCCATGTGGTTCTCTGATGCTGGCAGACATGAGACTTGTTGGATTGAGACTGAGAAGGGTACTCGGGCTGAGAGAAGGCAGTCGTCTTTGCTGCCATGAATAATACATGTACCTACACTCTTGGCAGCTTCTGACATCAATGAGGGATCTGGCCGCTGTGCTCAGATGTTCTCCGCTCAATAGCTGTATCAAAATTTGCATCAAACATGTTGTAGGGCTTTTTTTTTTCTTTTCTTGTCTTTCTCATAGTGGGCTTCAGTGCATCTCTGAGCCGATGATGTTGCACTAAAAAAAAGCGGTTAGATTTAAAAGACCTACTTTGTAGGCATATTTGATTAACATATTTATTTATTGTACCAACTACCCTAAAGATTTTAGGTACTGTTGATTCATTAATTAAAAAAGAAAAATACTGGTAGTCTTTGGTAAGATGTAGCCAAATAACTGAAGTTATTTTAAGGGAGGAGGGGCAGTTTTTATCTTTTCAGAAATTTTTTTTTAATTCCTGCATTGTTCTCACATTACGGTTAGATTTACGAAAAAAGATACAGAATACTAGAAAAGAACATTTAAATTAACATTCAAATAAAAAGAAAGCGTTCTGGAAAAACTCAAATTCTCAGAAGAACTCTTGTCAGCTGAATTCTGCTTTATGTTAAGCCAACCATACTTTTGGAAAGCTTGGGTTTAATTCTTATTAATTGAAGACTCACATTAAAATAGCAAAAATAATAAAGTAGCCATGCTGTGTTCAGGGCTGAAAACAATTGGATTAATCACAATTAATTGACATCAGCTAACTTGGTAATCAAATGATTAACGAGACCACAGAGACTAACAAAGTAAATTTGCAGATTGAACAGTCGGCGTAGTAATTAAGCAAAAACATTAAAAGTAAATACATACTTTTTTCATTTAAGAGAATAAAACATCTATGAACTAATGTCCAACCCAGAACTCAAGTGGCACAATTTTAGCTTCCCTTGTACAAATTCTGTAAAGAAAACCTGCTTTTAAGAAGTAAAGAAGTGCTTTTTCATCTTAAATGTCCATGACTTGAAAAGCTTATGGACTCTCGCACCTCGGGTCGGAAAAGGACACGTTTGGCTGTGCGGCAGGCTCTCCTAAACATGGCTTTGATTTACAATACTAAATCTGTATCTGTAACATTGATACTCCATGTACGGGCTCAGCTGTTATGAGCTAAGCTGGTGTCATCTGCTGTGAACAGGAAACGGGAGGCTGCTGATAAGAAAGTGTTTTGTGTCAAAGAAGAGCCGCTTGCTCAGCTCCGATAACCGGGCCTGGGGGGAAAGTAGCCCGTTTTAAAAGCGTGTGCTTGTTTGTGGATTTATTCCCTCTAATTAATTGAAATAATTTGTTGACCTCTCCCTATTAATAGTTACGTTTTATATGTGCAAATTTAATGGAAATCAGATACAGAGCGATGCATAGTAATTGCTACCAAATGCTCAAAGGAAATATATGAAACGAGGTAAAATAGCTGTTGTATAACCAACTGAATTCATCATGTTTTTTCAGCTGAAATTTCCCATAGTTTGATTAGAAATGTTGAGAATGTTTTCTTTGAGCTCCTGTTCTTAATAGATCTTGTTTTCCCTCTCCCTTTTAATAGTTGTTCTAATTTTAGGTCTGTTCCTTTAAGGATTTACGTTGTTGGACCAGTGACCCCATCTTATCTCTTCTCTTAGAGTTTAGTGAACTCAACGCTCCTCAATAATATTTCATACTCTAGAGCCATTTAATAAAATGTATTGCCAAATAATCTAACACTTTATTATTCAGGGGAAAGGAAATGAGAGGTCATTCCAGGCCACTGAACAGTGTGATAGGTTTACTTCTCTTGGCCGTAAACATAAAAGAATATGGTCCTAAAAACATTTTATTGGGGCTGGTGACAACTTGCGTGCTCCAGGTTTAGGAGTTTTCTTCGGATCATGCTCTGAACTATTGCCTTACATGACTGCTGGACAAGCACAGGATTAAAATAAAGATTGCTGCAGAATTGAACACTAAAAAATATTGAATTGCAACCTAATAAAAATAAAGAAAGACATTGGTGGCCTCATTTTAACTTTTGTTTGATTTAGAATGGATGGTGCCATGCCCACCATGTTTTTGTGCAGCTGTTACTGGTGTGTTAAAATAAACACAAGCAAACAAAGCTTAGCCTGGTGGGCTGACGAGCAAAGCCTGGTGGCCCACCAGACTTATAATACACTGGCGGAAACCCTAATACATCTGGCCAGTAGGTTAAACGTCCACTGCCCTTAGTTCCCTAGCCTGATCGCTTCTAGTAAATCATGGTGAGTATGACTTGAATGGGGAGATGGGTTGGTATCCAAAAGGAATGTACTTGTAAATGGAGGACTTGAAGAAGTTAATCTAATTGTTAGGGTTATTTATTTACTTTTAATGTTGAAAAGTTGATGTAGTAAAGTCATCAACTGATTCAAACTAACTTAAGTGACCCATCGGTATGAAAACGGGCTCAGCTGTCAACCAAAAGCTTCATAGCCAGGCTAAACGGATCCCAGTATCTTCTCAGAATAACTATAATTCTGTTTTTTTTCTTGCTTAGATTTTTCTTTCTTCAATGTATTCTCTTACGTTAGATGGACGATATGCTAAAGCTGATTTGTATTGTAGGATTCCCACTAAAACTCATGACTGTTGCAAATCGTCACAACCCCTAAAGCAAAGCCTTTTTTTTCTTCTTCTTCTTCTTTTGCCAACATTCATACAACAGTGCTCTGCTAACATCGTGTACCTGAAGGCAAATTGAGGAAAACGGTTCACATCGGACAAAAAACTGGACCCAAAAAAATCCATACACCGGGTGGCGGTTTTAAAAAATTTCCACCCGACTCTGAGTTTATTGCAATTTTGCCATCCTAAGTTTCTCCCTCTCAATCTGTCTTTCTCACCCTCTCTCATTCCTCCTCTCCTTCCTCCAACACATGCAGATTAGTCATCGAGCTGATGTAGCTGGATTGCTGAAACGCAGGCACCACGCACACCCGCCGTCCTGCGTCCCTTGCCTTGCATCATGTCAGAAAACAGCAGAGTCATGCAATTACAGCCTCTCCTTTTTGGTTCAGATCACATCTAAACGGCTGAGGCCAAAATATCAGCTTTGAACAATTCTCATTGTTGTCATAAAATGGACGTCACTAAATGGGATGAAATCAGCTTGGAAAAAGCCCCATCATGACTTCTTAGAACTTTGGCTTCATTCAGATTAGCCACACATATCTTTTTGAAGATCTATGCCTTTAGGGACCCAGCGTAGAGCACATAAAGTAATAGTTTGTGGTTGGCTAGTGTGATCATGTGACTGTGTGAATGAGCTTATATAGTAATTAACAGACCGCGTTATTGCTCCTGGATTACTCCTAGCTTATTGCTCAGCATAGCGACCTAAGAGGTGAAGCGTTTCCTTTATGGCTGGAGAAAAAAACACCCAAACGGCGTCTAATAAAAATGAACCACCGGCCGACAACAAAGGCTGTAAGTTTGCAGAATTCAGGTACAATCTCATAATCTTTCTTCTTGATTCTATTTTTTTTCTTTTTACTTTCTCTTGATTTAGGTTGAAAGCAGTACTTCTCATTTTGGGTTTCCTTAATGTTTGCAGTCTAGTAAGTCAGTGGTTTCAATAGTTGATAGGAGCATAACGAGCAGCTGTGGTGTGTGGTTCTGTGTCTTGAGGCCGTCTGTCGGGTCGTCATTGACCCGTTTGTAAAACTTGTAAGATTCATGACATGCAGGTTTCCTCAAGGGTGTCATTTGCATAAAAATCTAGTTTTGTTTCTGCTTGACATGCTTTCAGATCGGTGCTTACAGGCCAGTTTTTTGTTCCTTGTGTTCAGGCTGTCAACACAATGTCAATCCAACACTTTCACACATCGCAGCTCATAACCGCTGTGATAATCTAGAACTTTGGTCAGATGCCCACAAGGACAATGTCTCATCCAGATCCTTGTCCGTCTCTTTTCTTTTTCTCCTTGTTCAGTCGATGCTGATGAGATTAAGAGGCTAGGGAAGAGGTTTAAGAAACTCGACCTAGATAACTCGGGCTCGCTCAGCGTGGAGGAATTCATGTCTCTGCCGGAGCTGCAACAGAACCCGCTGGTGCAGAGGGTTATCGACATATTCGACACGGACGGGAACGGAGAGGTGGACTTTAAAGGTAAGCCACAGACCTGGCAGGAGGGTTTGATGCCCCGTTCTCAGCTCCAATATTATTGGTCTGTTCTTCGTAAATGAAGACACTAACGAGATGATTTTGAGTTTTATCTATTATGAGCTATGGTTTTATGGGGCTGAAAGATTTGTTTTTGCTTTAAATAGAAAAGTTTGCCTAACGTGTTTTTGTGGTTAAAGGATGCTAGAAAACAAACTGCACATCTCAAGAGTGTCAGGTGTTCATATGAAGGCTGACAGTAGAATCAGTCTGGAAAAACTCCTCAAGTTGAAAGGACAACACTGTTTTTTTCAGACCTTGGGTGTATTTTTTTACGTTTTAAACTCAACTACATTTGTTAACTGTATTGTTTTGGTTCTGTTTTTGATTTAGTGCAAATTTGTCATGCATATCATTTGTCTACAAGAAAAACTATTAGTATTCTCTCTGTTTATAAGGAAGAATTACTTTGTTAAAAAAATAAACTACAGAATAAAAAAGTAAAATAGTAGTAGGTCATTAGTAGTTTTTTTTTTATGGAAAGTATTTTCTCTTGATGTGCTTGATTTATACTTTAAATCAATAATTCCCAAATTCAAATTAAGAGAATTCAAACGAAATGTAACTTAATGTCTGCTTTTGGGTTGAAATTAATATTTTTGGTTTCTCCTCAAAAACAAACAAAAAAAGTCTGATCATTTTCTTCAATCAGACAAATGTACTTGGTCTTTATATTCATTTAGAACATTTTTGATTAACGTTATACCAAAATTCAATTCAGTATTATGAATCATTTCAAGATTGTCACCCTGCCCTGCTAGACCTCCACAATCCACAAATTACCAAATTTAAACAGTCTGTCAATGTATGACTAAGACGGGGTTTCATCTCTGCTTCCCCCTGACAGGTGTGTGGGAAAACCCTTAGTACAGCACAAATCATGGCTGTAGCACCTAATGGATGTTAAAATTTACAATAATCAGTTTTTGAAGCTGCAGAATATCTTGGTTTAACTAGAAACATGTGGGCTAAATTATCAATAAGTCATATCAAAACACAGCAAAGGGAATTTTATTTCGTCAGTAAATGATTCCCATTAAGTTTCTCTGTTAAACTTTTGACATTTGGTCCCATAATTGAAACTTGGGTGAAAAAGTTACTGTCCTTTAATTTAGTCTTTAAAATTTGAAAATCAAAAACTTGAGCAATTTGTAAAAAAAAAAAAAAAAAAAGTAAAACTGTCTTCCTGTGTTTGGGCCATATTTGTGTGAAATTATTCCCAGATGTGGGTCTGAATTGAGCTTTGAATTTTGTAGAGAAATGGTAAAAGATGTCTATGATGTTCTAGTGGAGCCTGAATTTACATACTACTTTTCTTTTTTTAATCTTCTCAGAGTTTATTGAAGGAGTCTCACAGTTCAGCGTCAAGGGAGACAAAGAACAGAAACTCCGATGTAAGTAAATCTGGCCAGTTCATCTTATCACAAAGCCATGCGTTTGCTTTGTTCCTCAAAAGGAGAGTTTTTATCTGTTTAACTTCACCTTTCTAATCGGGGCGTTTCACTTCACCATCAAAGACGCATTTCTAAACAATAAGTAAAACGTTGCACACGAATAACTTGCGCTTTCCCCTTTTCTTTTCATGCACATTCCAAACCGCAGTCGCTTTCAGGATTTACGACATGGACAAGGACGGCTACATCTCCAACGGCGAGCTCTTCCAGGTTCTGAAGATGATGGTGGGCAACAACTTGAAGGACACGCAGCTGCAGCAGATCGTGGACAAGACCATTATAAACGCAGACAAGGACGGAGACGGCAGGATATCCTTCGAAGAGTTCTGTGCAGTAAGTCGAAGCTCTCCTGAGGGTTTTCAGAGGGGAGCGTTGACGTTTCTGCTGATCCTGCCGACTTGTGGAGGCGGCAAAAGGTCAAAGGGGAAAGAAATCTCTGGAAAGACTGCTGGGTTTTTTTTTATTATTATTATTGTTGTTTTGCTGGGGCTTAACAGCTCTGGGTTTCAGTTTCAGCACTGCTTATGTGGGAGGAGCTGTGTGTAAGGCTGCTGTGGTGAGACTGCAGAGATGCTGTTTAAAACCAGCGGCTTCTCCTGTCATACTGATTTATAATCCGGCCTTGTTGTGGAAATTAAAAGTCTACTATCCAATTTCAGATCAAAGGGGCAAAGACAGCTGTTTGAACACAGTGGGTGTTCTCATTTTTTTGAAAAGCCACATCCACCGGCTCGTCTCTCGACGGCCCCCAGAGGGAACCGGTTTTGCTCCGAGCCAAGTTCTGAAATGAAAGGCTCCATATCTGGCTCTGACAGACACAGGGTCCGTATTTGACAGCTAGATCCTCAGAGCCTTGAACTAAAACGGCTCGCCGTCCCTTTCAGGGTGTATTTTCGGAACGGTGCAGGAGAAGAACTGCAGCTCAAACATTTCACGCTTCAAAGAGTTTATCACCGTTTTGGCCTGAGCCGTTCTGTTAGAAAATCTGTTTAAAAAATATAAAGATTGAGTTTGAAGGGTGTTGATAGTAAAACAAGGTCTGGAGTATTTACAACCCGGTGGTGGGCTTGTGTTGCTTTGTATTTAGTGCCCTTTTATATTTGGGTTTTTCTTACCCTCACTTATCAGTTTTTGTGTTACTAATACATATACACACATAAAAGTAGAATTTCTTTTCTTCATTGTGGCCGTGTATATCCTTTAACATTTTGTTCGTAAACTATGCCAAAGCTTTATAACCTGTTTTCAGTTTAGCTCGCCAACAAACCAACACAATAAATGTCTTGTTAATAAAGCTGATGTTCACACTACAATAATCCAGTCCAGATTTTTCAATTTAATCCAAATTTGTCCAACTACATCACTGTTGAATTGTAAGCTATCTTAAGCACTGTTGACTCATGATTTTCTAGTCAAATATTCATAATGCCATTAAAAATTAGTTGATTTGTTTTTTTTTAGCCGATGACCAGAGGTGACCATTCAACAAATGCATCTACGTCTTTTTTCCCCATATGTGATTTTACTCACATTTGAGTTTCTGCAACACTTTTTAATTTAACCTGGTAGAGCTGTGATTTAAACTTTGATTTGTTCAAGGGTGTTAGTCTAATCTGATTTTTGTGAGTAGATTGGTACCTTTTTGTTGTATTCCGTATGTAGCTGTATACTTTGAAGAGATTTTATTAGCACAAGGATCCTACTTACACCCAAAACGTGTATCATCCATTTGAAGCTGTTTGGTGTAAAGAATCAGCTGTTAACCTTGAAATAAGAATGTTACGGTTTGCTATAACCACTTCCTACATTTTATCTATTCAATAAACAATAGAGCAACAATTATCCTTAAACAAGTATAGCTGTTCAAATGTTAGACAAACATTGAGCACACATTTAAATTAAACACTCAAATTCTCCAAAGCGATTAGATTTGTGGTAGTAAATTTTCTTAGTGCACCGACATTATTGCTTGTTGCTTCTTAGATTAACCCTGAAAGTACAGCAACCAGATATCTTATTTGGTTGATCTATTTAGCCAGCTGCTTGATGGACATGAAATGTACACTTTCTAAACTGTCTTAAAAAAGTTGACTTAAACTTAATAATTCTTGTTTTAGGCCTTGAACTCCTGCATAGATCCAGATCTTCTACGAAATCTTAATTTGTCATCTTTTGTTAGCACTTTCATTTATCCACTCCTTCTTGTGTCAGTTACTTTTAGCTCTTTGTTAAAGTTTGTTTAGAAAATTAAATTCAAAACCGTCTTGCACATCAGACTGCTCTTTTGTCACAAAAAGGTTTGTGTAGCAGAGTTTTGACAGGGATTTCAGTAGTTTTGAAAGTGCAAATTTATTGTCAGATGGCTGGACCGTTTCTGTGGAGATATAGGTCTTAAATTTCATTCATAATGGTCTTAACAAGTCTGAAATGTGAGTTGGTGAAACTTGCAGAAACCCTGATTTTACTTTCACACTCTTCTCCGGCATCTCATTAAAAGAAGCTTTAAATAGTTGACAACATTTTTGTGGCTTTGACCTCAAAGCTTATTAAAACCTTCATACAGTGGTGCCCAACTCACGCCTCCATGTTTTACAAATATGAGCACATTTCTCAGTTTGGTCGGTTCCGTCTTCAAACTTTTTGGATTTTATGACTTATTCATGAGTAAAAACTCCCAGCATAGAGATGTCTGTGTTCAGATGTTTGTCGTCTCACCTCGGTTTCGTCTCTTCCTCCTTTCCTTCACCCCCAGGTGGTCGGAGGCCTCGATATACACAAAAAGATGGTGGTGGACGTGTGAGCGCCCTCCGCTTGCTGAATCCCCCTCCTCGCCCTCAACACTCGCTTTTCTCCACCATCTCCGAAGATCTGCTCAAAGACGTCTGGCAAAACGCTCTCTGTGTAACTCAATGGAAGTATTCTCTCTTTATGTCTATCTTTCTGTGAAGCCGCTTTTTCTTTTCTCTCATTTCTTTTTTTTTTTTTTTTTTTTTTCTTTTGTGCTTTTTTGCTTTCGAAAAACCACGGGCCTCGTGAAGCCAACTTTGAAGTGTTATTGAACTGTAAATCCGCAATAACCCGGTCGTAGCACTTTAAGAGACTGAAGGACATCCATTTGGTCATTTGCAAAGAGCATCTCTGGTTGTGGAAGAAAAAAAGGAGGGAACAGGGGATAGAGGAGGGGCGCAGTGAAGAGGCTGGTTGGCTTGTTCATATTTCATCCTTTTTTTCTCTCTCTTTTTTTTGGTAATTGTTATTTTTGATATTTATTTTTGTTGTCTTTTATAAAGAAAAAAATACAACTATATATCTGCATTTCTTTTTCTTTTTTTTTTCTTTTGAGAGGACGTGTGTAGTGTATTTACACTTGCAGCAGTACAGCTAGAAAGTAGGGTATGAAGTGCCAACCAGAACATATCCAGAACCAGTTCGTTATTAACTATCATCACTGCATTCATTCACACGGAGGGGAAAACCGGAGGGCGACGCTTCCAACTGCACGACTGCGAGGCATCGTAAATACAAAACAAAATTTCGTGACGTTTTTTTTTTTTTTTGGCTCCCGCGCTCAGTTTGAACCGACCAGTAAAAGCTTCCAATCTTAGCGACGCTTCTCATCGTCTTTTTTTTTTTTTTTTTAATAAGATTGCTAGTTTTATTTATACGTAAGAATGTGTTTATATTGTCGGACATCATCCCTGTTTCCTATCATGAGATTCTAGCTAGGTTCAATTAATGCCAAGAAAATGTCTTTCCAGATAAAGAAAAAGGAAAAAAAAAAAAAAAAAATTAAACCAGTCATGGCTGCAAACTGACATCATGGTTTACTCGTGAAGAAAGCATTGCGCATCCATAATGACAATCTCCAATGCAAAGAATAGTTAAGCACTCGCTATTGAACCGTAGTGGAAATCATGCTTTTTTCCGTGACGCTAGCAGACCATGCTGGATGACGTTTTGACAAAGAACCGAGAGAGAACAGTTATGAGATTTTTAGGCTGTTTGTGCGAGGATAAAGCAACTTAAGAGACTTACCTGCAGGCAGCAGTTGTCATTTGTTGTTGTTTTTTTTAAGGAAAAAAAAAAAACCCGATATGTGTATATTAGGTAAACGATGTGTGATCATCTTATCGAACCGCAGCAGGAGGAGGAGGAGAAAGAGGAGGAGGAAGGCTTTGCCTCTGAAATGTCTCAGTGCAGCACAGGACGGGTCAGTTTCCTTCAACGCAAAAACACTTAATCTTAACACGTTAGCATGATCGGTGTGCAATGGCGCTAGACTAGTTTTTAGGATTTTCTGTTTTTATCTGGAGCGTGTACATTTCAAAAGTTGGCTTCCACTCCCACTTTTTTTTTTATTATTACTATTATTTTCTCTCTCAGTCATGTTGTTTTTCTCTCCCCCAATCCTTCTTTTTCCAAACCTGCTGATTCAAGCAGGGAGGGGAAAAAAAACAAAAATTAAAAAAAAAACAACAAAACCTTAAATTCAACCAAATTTATTTATTTATTTTTTTTTTTTCCCCAAGGGGAAAAATGCTTCCTTCTATTAACAGCATTGGGATAGATGTCCGTTTTGCTTTGGAGGCCAACTGCTAGTTTTAACAGGACTACTCAGTCAGATCTGGAGTGCTCTATTGTTCCCCATCCCTGAGCTCTGCACGGCTTTGGGCCTCCCTGTGCTTGCATGACATGGAAGTATATTTTTTTTTTGTTGTGCATGTAGATCAATTTTTTGAAATAAAACTCTTGTTTACACATGGATGGTGATGTTAATATATTTAAGAATTTTACGGTATACAATATGGATGTTGCCAAACTTTGGTAAATGTACACATATTATGAGCGGTAATCCAAATGAACTGAACTACATGTAACTTTTTTGTATTTTACCCGGGTCAGCGAGATGCTTCGATTCCAGTAAAAGTTGCATATCTGATCCTGTCTCAAACTGCCACACACTGTACTCAGCTTAAAGGGGAAATTTGATTTCATTTTTTTTTCTTTCTTTTGTATATAAGTATTTGTTAAATGCAGTTCTGGCTCTCTGTTCTCTGTATAGTTCAGACCGCGCTTTAGTTTGTAAGTGCTACTTTTTTTCTCTGAGGGAATTGGGTTCTTTTTAGTTTGCGTGGGAATATCTGAAAAGATTTAAGTTTGAGAACCTTTTTTTTTTTTTTTCCTTTTTCTGCATGCTGCATATTATGCTGTGGGACTGTTGGAAACTTGATACTGTATGAAAATGAAATAAAATTTAAATAAACTTTGAAATGTTGAAAGTAACATTTTTCCCTCCCCTCATTCTGACTTCTGAAGATGTGAAAGATGGGGAAACAAATCAACACATTGATGCAAGAGCTGTACTACTTTCTGATGGAGAAGAGAGAGTTGAGTCAAAAAGTGAAGCTCTTGATTTACTGCTCGATATACGTTCCTGCGCTCATCTGTGGTCAGGGGCTTTGGGTCATGACCGAAAAGAATGAGATCATAGATATAAGCAGCCGAAATTAGTTTTTATTTTTTGTCTTTTTTAAAGGTTGGATGACTATACCACAACTTCACTGACCTTAAAAAAAAATTGAGTGGACAAAATGTATGCTAAATGTATTGTGGACTTGTGATCTAAAAACTGTCCAGTGCATACAACAGTTAGCAAAAAGTGTTTAGCAAGTTGCTGAGAAACTACATTATCACCAAGTTTCTCTCATTATTCTATCAGGACGTGTCACTGCTCTCAGCAGAACTGGTAGGGCTCGTTTCAATCTGCTGGTTCCTTGGCATTTCCACTGCTGTTAAGAATAGACCACACGATTTCAGAAGCCTGGAGGTCAGAGCCGTCTGTCCCAGGAGCCTAACATCGTCCTGCTTCATCAGCCTCAGTCATTGTCCTGTTGGCCTCACCTTAACTCATTTAAATATGTCTTGTTATAGTGGCCAAATGGCTGTCATTGTCTTGTCTGAAAATTTCAGCAAACCTGTAAGGAGCAGGGACTTCTGTCTCGGTCAGCAACCTTCATGTTGGTAAACTTGCTTCATTGAGGATCATAACGGTGGTGGACAAGTAGTTTCCAGTTTCTAATAGGCTTGTCATTGGTGGCTCCTGAACCATTATTGTTTTGACAGTTTTGGTCTTATGGTGAAAACCTGGCATACAGCTGAGTGTTCCAACAGAACAATAATCCAAAACTGGTTTAATAGAACTAGGCTAACAGTAAGATCCTGTGATAGCCCAAACCTCAACCCTGTTGAAAATAAACGTATAAAAAGGTAAAGATCCAAAATGTTTTAATGTAAATATTTGAACCTTGTGTGGATTTTAATTGCATACATTTATTAAACTAGAAGGGTTTAAATAAAAAATAAAGCCCAAAATTAATTGCATTCTCATTAGTTTATGTTCACACTAGAATGATAAACGAGTTAAGGTTAAATGTCATATCAAAAAGTTAGGCTGATATTCTGCTGTAGGAAGTGGACATCCCTCATGTAGATGGCCAGTTGTGTCCTGTCATGTTTTATCTACACCACTGATACATGATGCTGCAATCGTCACTATTCAGTCAGTTCAGCCAAAAATAAGACACCAAGTTTTAGAAATCACAAACTTTGATTTACACGGTGTATACAGGATAACTGTATACACCTTGTGTTCTGCTAAAAACATTCATTCACAGAAATAAACCACCTTTATTGTTTTTGATATTTATTTACATAACTCATATTTCCAGAGACCAACACTGTTCATCAAAAAATACGATGTACGTGTCGGCTTCCCATCCCAAACCCCAGTCCGTGAACTCATCGCAGTGACAGAAAAGGAGGAGAGGACGGCATGTAGCAGCCAATCGGATTTCAGAATCTCTCTGCAGTCCTGCTGGCCACCGCTCTGATGTTGCCGTAAACCTTTGAAGGTGGACTTCCTGTTGAGAGGTGGGGGCCAGGGGGAGGTTTTAAAGGTCATTTCCAGCATTTAGAGTTTTGATCTAAATGTTAAATGATTGGCTGCTTACCTAAAATCAGGTTACATATTGCTGTTCGGGCCATCTTGATATTCTGAAAAGAACCTAAAATGTGGATTTTCCTGTTGAGACACATTTAGAAAAAAAACTCTAAATACACGCATATTGGGGGAAAAACAAAATCACAAAGGTTTAACTGTGATGGGCGAATCACGACTTGGATCACATACGTCTCTGCCAGAACGATGCGAGTCTTTGTCACATTCTCAATGGTGAATTTCGTTTTTCCTCCCTTCCCTGCTATTCTTCCAATGGCCCTGGATAAGTGGTCGCCTTTCAAAGGTTTTACTGTGAAAAAAAGAAAAGTAAAACAACAAAAAGGTCAATCTTTTGCAAAGAAAAAAGGAGAACAAACAAGTGCAGAGTAGGAGAGCAGACAGAAGGCCTAGGGTTTTGCAATCTCACCGTCTGTGACATCAAAGCTTTCAAGGAAAAGCTCGTCTAATCTGATGAGCGCCATGGCATCCTGGGAAGAGGAAGGGCGACTATTACATCACTGGCAGGAATCCAGCGAGTTCAACGTCAACGACTCCATGGAGTCCTACAAACTTGAAATCACAACTTTCAAAGGTTTCGACTTCCCTAAAGGGATGATCATCGGCTAAACTCCAGCTAATCAATACTGAGGTTGTTCATCAGGGAGCATTTCTTGCACTCACCTCAACCTGGAAGCCTAGGATGAACGCTTTGACGAAATCTGCCGCTTTCGTGAGGGCGCTGATTTCCTGCGTCTCTTTGCACGTCTGAAAAATAAAACACACGAAACAGACGAGGCTGTAAGCACTACGAAAAAAATAAATAAATAAAGGCCTTAAGAATAGTAACATTACTTCAAATCAGTGCTACCAACATGTCTGAACTTACTTTGATTTCTACGTTCCTGGTCTTGAGGTTAAATCGCACTTGAAGCTGCAGGTTCTCTACGATGGGAGTGAAAATCTTTAGCCAGTTTTCCTTCAGCGGGGTGTATCTGTGAGCTGGAACGGGGATCTTACGCATCTCATCTGGTCCCTGAATCACACACAGGAACATTATATCCAAATAATGTCACCTTAAAATGCAAGTAAAAATCTGTACTAAGTATAGCTATACATTCATTAACTTTCAAACATAATCGTTCTTATCTCAGGACACACATAGATTTATGGATTCTTAATCACTATTATTTAAGTAAACATATGCCATACGTCGTTTTATTTGCATACATTGTCAAAGTAGTTTGACTTGAGACACAAAATGGCAAAATTATGTTTGGTTACCAGGTTGAAAGAGAATAATATGTTGGAGTAAAAATAAGATAAATGATAAATAAATTAAAAATATATATTAAAGAGATAATTATGAATCACAGAAAAGCATTTCAGCAACGCCAAAATGGAAGACACCATAAAATAACTCATAGTGTCATGATATGAGCTACATTTATCAGAATGGTAAATAAAATCCTGCAATAACTAGCATAACTATGTCTATATAGGTATATATGGATATATGGTAAGACTGTTACCATACGTATTTAGATACAATTTTAGTGTTTTGTTTATTTGTCACCGTTTTGCTGTTGATGCATCATTTTGAATTGCTTATTTAAATATTTCATTGTTTTAATGTATCGGTTCTGTTAGAGACGTCATCACCCAAAGGAAGTCATTAGCGATAGATAAATCGTTCGTAGTTTCTCCCATAGGTCTGAAGAACGATGTGCGCATGCGCAAGTTTTAAAGGGGAAGCACTCAAACCAACTTGTTAAAGTGCTGAAAACACAACAGTGCCTAAAAATATACCCCTTTTTTAACATACATATGATGGAAGCAAATAGAGGTAATTACCCGTAATTTGTCTCCGGAGATCGGTGGAAACTGCGGCCGTTTAATGGCCACGCTCTCCTCTGTGTCCATGTCCACTCCGTCTTGCTCACGTTTACGTTTCTGGTTCTTCTTTTTAGACTTCACCTTCGTAAACGCCTCTGCGCCATCTTTACTCTCCCCAGTCACTTCAGCGGCTACAGTAGGAGTTTTTTCGGTGTCCATTTCCACAGAAGGTGTTTTAAAGTCCAGTTTTGATTAGAAAACAGAGGCAGACTGTGGCCACAGAGGCATGAGGTGCGATAGAAAGGACCCAAACAGCCGCGTCATCAATGCCTATAGAGTTAAGAAATTCTTGTACACGTTTAGGATTTAAAATAAAACTCAGAATGTGTCACTATAATTCAGTCTCATTTATCAATGTCTATTAGCCGAATTATGTATGCCCGTAAGCAGACGATATTTACTTAACATAAAAATTTATAGTCAGGCATATCTCCAGACAGCAATGAGCTCTGTGGGAGGATCCTCGCTTTATTTTGTTTTGGCGTGGAGATATCCGTTTTTCAATAGATTCTCGACCCTTTTATAAAGTATTTTAAAAGATGTCCTCGCCCCTGTCGAAGCCTCAGATCATCGCACACATTCAGAAGAGTCTGAACTACACGGTGTTCGACAGCAAATGGATTCCGTGCAGCGCCAAGTTTGTCTGCTTGGGGAACTTTGCCAGAGGAACAGGGGTGCTCCAAATTTATGAAGTTCAACACGGAGAGGCTCAGCTCATAAAAGAGGTAGTATCATCCCTCATATTGGGCCTTTTTGGTTTTTAAAAACGGGCTATCCAAGCGATTTCAAGCGAGGGTTCTAGAACTCTCTTGCTCGCTTGTAACCATGGTTACAGTCAGCCAGGCAGTTTGTAGACAGGTGGACAGTTCATTGCAGAAACCAGGTGACACAGTGTGACTTCTATGTACTGCAATAAGGAGATAATAATAACTTAGTTACGTAATTAATTATCTTTGGTTGTTAACATGCACATAATCAAGGTCAGGTGAACTTATAGTGTGTTGCTGAACTATTCCTATGCCTTGAATTTTTCCTCATATTTTGTCATATTAGCAAACTTCGTTGTGTTTTATTGGGATTTTTAGTGATAGATCACAAATTCTTGAACTACACTGCGGGTCTGGTACTATGTTTGTTGATTAGAAAGTGAACGCCGCCTCTGGTAATTTTCCCTGAATTGTACCTGCCCAAGAAAATATTCACAATGCATGATGCTGCCACCACCATGCATTAGCATGGGGATGGTGGTCACTACCCATAGCATTTTTAGTTTGGGTCGAGAAGTTACAGTTTGATCTTGTCATGGCCAGATCACCAGCTGTCTTCCACATGTTTTCTATGCCCTTCATGGCCTTGAATATTAATGATAATAATAAAAAAAAACAGCTCGAGATGAATGCATATTTTTCCAAGGCGCTGTACATTTGATTTGAATCTATTTGTCCCTTTGTTGGAGTTGAAGCATCTCTTTACGCCCCCATGTTTCAGGTGGAGAAAGCTAAACCCATAAAATGTGGGACGTTTGGGGCCTCGTCTCTTCAACAAAGGCACATAGCAACCGGAGATTTTGATGGGAATCTCCACATATGGTACTACAACTGTCTATTTACACCAAACTGTAGGTTCACTTACAATTGTGTACTTTTGCTGTTAATTGGAAAGATGAGCAGCAGAAGTAAAAGTGTCAGCGTACGCAGTCTACTTTGTCTCTGTCATCCACAGGAATCTGGAAGCGCCCGATGTGCCGGTGTACACCACAAAGGCCCACAAAGAGATCGTGAACAGCATCGATGGGGTTGGTGGCCTTGGAATTGGTGACGGTGCTCCTGAGATCGTCACAGGAAGTAGAGACGGTAAGAACAGAAAAGCTTGATGCCTTTCTTATTATACAAAATGTTTTAATCGCACCGAAATGGAGAAAATTACAAAACGAGACACAAATCTTTTCTTTTTGTTTGTTTGGGTGGGGGGGTTTTGGCTGGGTTTTGCAGGGACAGTAAAGGTGTGGGATCCCAGGCAGAAGGATTTACCTGTGGCCAACATGGAGCCTGTGGAAGGAGAGACCAAGAGGGACTGCTGGACTGTTGCCTTTGGTAACTAAATTATCACATAGAGTCAAAATACAGATATCATTTGTAAGATTTTCATTTGTCTTTTCTGGACCTTTTCCTCAAAAGAAAATCATCAAAACTACAGTACTTTGAAAAAGTATTCATTTTGTCACGTTATAGCCATACACTTCAATATATTGTATAGGGAATTTACATCCAAAGTAGACTAGTGCATAGTTGTGAAGAGGAATGAAAAGTTGAAATGTCGTCTTGCTTGTTTTTAAAAATAACAATCAGAAAGCTGTGGCAAGTATCTATATTTACTCAGACCCACTAAAGAAGAACGTAGTCCAACCAAGTGTAATCAGAAATCACCTACACTTTTCAGATTTACAACAAAACGCTGCTTTGTGTTGCTCCATTTCATACAATTGTTTGTTGTGATTTCACAACAGTTCAAGATGTTATGAGTGCTTTTGAAACCCATTGCTTAATTTACTAGTTTTTGTAAAACAGTTAAATATGCCTAATAGTTTGTGTTTTGCGCAAAAAAAATTTACCACCATTTTCTGTCTTTTTTTTTTTTTTTTTTTTTTTTTCATAAAAAGCCTCTTGAAATTCAGCAGCAGATAAAACGTCAGGAGAATATTAGTAATATATGAAACCATGTTGGATCTTTTATCTTTATTTTCAACAATCTTCTGGAAATTTTAGATATATCTAGTGTAGGGATGGACGACATGGACTTAAAGTTTGATCACGGTATTTTGTGGTAGTGTAATAATGATAAAAGTGACGGTATAAGCTAGTTATTACATCCTTTTTTCTAGGTAACCATATGGCTGAACAAAAATACAGCTCTTGGAAAACATTCCTATCTTCAGGACACTGATTACATAAAGAAGTGTAATTTATATAATTGAACTTCAAATCATAACTGCATTTAATCTTATGTTTCAAATTTATTGATGCTTTCACTGAACAAGTATTGGAGAAAACATTAAACCTAACAATCAGCACAATGTGGACAGTTTTTTGGGGGGGACTTTTAAACATCATTAAATGGACAATTATCGCTTATCGTTTATCACAATAAACGATAAACGATACAATGAATGCTCACCCCTAATCTAGTGTAACGTTTTTCAGGTAATGCCTTCAACGATCAGGACCGATGTGTGTGTGCCGGCTACGACAACGGCGACATTAAACTCTTCGACCTGCGGAACATGTCTCTACGATGGGAAACCAACATTAAAAACGGGGTGAGGTGAAAACACGCGTCCAAATCCCTTATGAGGAATTATGGTGGATAGATTTTTTTTTTTTTTTTTTAAGTTCTTAACTTAAAAAAGAAAAAGAAAAATTTAGGACGACGGGCCGAACTCTCCTATCAGGTGTGATGATGAATATAAATGACTGCGCTGCTTTGATTGCTCAGCTGCTTCCATTATTCACTCCCTCTCGAATCTAGATGCGCCGATGATTGCTCTCCTGGCGTGGAGCCCGCTACATTTTTCTTTTTCCTCTCCCACTCTGAGCAGGTATGCTGTGTGGAGTTTGACAGGAAGGACATCAACATGAACAAACTGGTGGCCACCTCGCTGGAAGGAAAATTCCACGTCTTCGACACGAGGACTCAGCACCCCACCAAGGGCTTCGCCTCCGTTTCCGAAAAGGTGGTTACAGAGGGCGGAGCGGGAGACATCTGGGAAGGAGGGAATATAAAAAAAAAAAAAAAAGAAAAAATTCAAAAGATTATTGTTCTTCTTCTTATTATCCCTTCAGTTGGAAAGGTGAACTAGGGCTGCGTGTCGATTTGAGCATTTTCACAGCTGGAAGCGTTTTTTTTGGGGTCGTGTTTGTCTAACTTCCTCTGCGGCTTTTTGTCGTGGGCCAAAGTAGACACAGGGCTGGAGAAGAGCGGTGGCCTTTTTGGTTGGGAAATGTGGGGGGGGGGGCGAGGGGGGGGCATAAACTCGGCGTACAGCACGTCTTAACAGAGCTGGAAGCGTTGGCAGCCTGAGCTGTGGGAATATTTCCCAAAGGTGTAGCAGAATGTCTGGAGGCATGAGGTTCCAACTTTTTGGACAACTTGGCCCTGTCACGATTGCAAATCCTGCTGGACGATAAAATCTCCCAGTAATTGTTACAAAAAACAGTAATATTATTGTTTTTAAGACTATTTTCAAGTAATATACTGTTAATAAAATAATAATGCAAGTTCACCCTCTCAAGACCAATACATTTTAATTTTGTAAAACATATTCCAGTATTCTAATGGAATATACCTTAATTATACAAAATAAAACACAGCCAACAAAAACAATGAATACAATGGAAATACATTTTAAAAAATACACGCAACTGAAACCATAAGCGAAATGGGTTACGATGTCTCCATCAACAAAATTGTCCTTCAAAAAATGTGAATAGCCAGAATGGAAATTATTGAGCTCATTTTAATTTTTCATGCGATTAATTAATGAATTGCTTACTGCGACAGGCGTAGGTAGAAGAAAACATCTGCAAACCAAAAACTAGAATCAGACATGAGAAAATTGGATCATTATATATATATATATATTTTTTTTTTTTAAAGTCCAAAGATATTTGAAATTCAACACATCTTATTTTAGTTTAAACTGTTTCATCCAATGTGATAAATCATCATCACCAACATGATTTCTGTGTTTGACCCAGAAATTTTCAACAAATTTTTTAAGCTTTTTCTTTCTTTTCTTTTTTTTTCTTTTTTTTTCTCTCTTAATAAAATAATCAATGTTTCTTATTTTCCTTTAGGCTCACAAAGCAACCATCTGGCAGGTGAGGCATTTGCCCCAGAACAGAGACATCTTTATGACTGCAGGGGGAGCAGGAAACCTACATCTGTGGAAGTAGTGAGTAATCGGACATGAATCACTTTGAGCTGCAGAACCTGTTTTTTTTTTTTTGTTTTGTTTGTTTTTAATGTTTTCACTTCTGCTGTTCTGAAAGTTTTTACACGTCTGAGCAAAAGTAGTCACACCCTGTTAACTTTCTCACATCAGAGCGACAAACTCCAATGTACTGATGCGCTACGTTAACACTGAATGTTCTAAAGTGGAATGAAAACGATGCATCATTTCACATTTTTTTCCCAAATTAGAATCTGAAAAGTGCGGCATACATAATTCTTCCACTTAGGGTAGGATTTTTGAAGATAATTTTTTTTTCTTTTTTCCCCACTAAAGCACTCCTTTCGTTTCCATAGTGATGATGCCATCAAGCCTCGAGCCACCATCTTGTTTGCCAAGTGTCTTTTACAGCTTTTGAACTTTGAATTCAGGTCAACTCTACAACAGACTTATCAGGGTCAGGCTACTGTTTTTTTTAATTATGAGAATAAAGTGGTAATGTTAGGAAAATAAAGTAAAACATTTCTGAGAACTCCCAACACAAAAAAATCTTAAAACGAGGAACGGTGAACATCTTCTAAAGTTCCACTTCGGTATCGGTTTTGCAAATAGGATACTCTTATCTTTTATTATCAGTAGCAGGAGTTTGAAATTATTGTTTATTTCGAGAGAAAAAAAATAAATAGACTGAGCTTCTCACATCAGATCATGATAACTGCAGAAGCTTTTCTCTCATTAAAAACTTTATTCCCATAGTTTTCAAATGTTCTTCTGGTAAAATTGTGTCTTTATCCTGTTAACGTTATGACTGTATTCTTGTGATTAAACAAAAATTCTTGTAGCCTTGGTGGCCCTGACACTCCGTCGTAAAGCTCGGAGAAGTAAAAATAAAAAAAAGTTTTATTTTTTTACTTGGTAGTAAACGCTTTTTTCCCCCAAATCCCATCTCCAGTGAGTACCCCGCACAGAGAAGCAAGAAGGACTCTGACGGAGCGGATGTGGGCGTCGCCGGGTCGGTCAACCTCCTGCAGAACGCCACTCTGTCCACTCAGCCAATCGCCAGCCTGGACTGGAGCCCCGACAAGCAGGGCCTCTGCGTGTGTTCGGGTTTCGACCAGACCGTCCGCGTGCTCATCGTCACCAAACTCAACGTGGCGTAACGGAAGCTGCCGGGAAGATCAAGAAGGAGCGTTTCCATCCATTCGCCGGTTTTGGGAATCGGATACGTTTAGATGCGCAGACAAATATCTGAATTCAAATACAGGGTGAAGAAATTACTTATACACCTGCATGTCAAGGTGCAGATTTATTCTCGCTAAAATTCCCGTCTTTCATGTACATTTTGTTAGGTCTGTGTTCTAACATGACTTTTTTTTTTTTAACAATGAAAACTGTTTCTAGATTAAAAGTGTTCTTTAAAAAAAAAAAAAAAGAGAGATTTACCTATATCCTCTGTGCTACGTGACAAAAATATGACATCTCAGTTAAATAAAAACATCTTCATCAACACAAAGAACAAGACAGCCTGAGAGGGAAAGGGAAACGCAGCTCAGATCCAGCATTTGAATCTGAAGAAGTCCTGCAGATCCGGGTCGTCCTCCTGTCTGTTGTTGATTTTCGCGTAGATGCTCTTCAGCAGCGACGTCTTTGACTTCTCGTCCAGAATGTCGATGTACTTTTCTATGACGCCTGTGAACAGAGCCGCAGATGTCACTTCAGAAGTCGACGTTTGCACACAGATGCGTTCCGTTTGACATTTGAGTTTAAAATGCCTCCGTATTTTACTCAGATTTAATGAGGAAACCAACACAAGCATTGCTGTCTAAGAAGATACACTGAGGTCAAAATGTAAAAAAAAAATGCTACAGGATTATGAATATTTCTGCTAGTCTCTGTACATCATCTACAATTTCTTCAGCTTTCTTCCAGGCCTGACTAACAGACCTAGCGGTCTGGACCTACTTAGCCCCATGACTTTGCCGTATGCGACCAGGCTGGGGCCCAGCTGTGGGTGGTCGAACAGCTGCTGTGACATCAGCAGGCGGACGATCTCCCCGGTGATGAAGGCGTCGTCGAAGCTCTGCTCGGCCACGTCCTTCAGAGGGAACCCGCAGTACACGTCCAGCGCAGCCTCCGGGTCCGAGGGCTCCACCAGCTTCACGAGCTCGATGTACGCGTCGTGGATCTGTCGTCCAAAATATCAGCTTAGACTTGTGGGTTAGAAATAACATTGTGATAGGGTTAGGGTCTAATTTTAAAACTGGGCTTATAATCTCCCTTTTTGACAAACCCTATAGACTGGTTTATGTTGTCCTGAATTGTCTTTAATTCTGCCTTAGGTGTTTGGGTTTTTTTTGTTTACTGCCTTCTTCTCATGTGTCCTTGCTTCATTTCCTTTCCTTTATCATTATATTCCCACTTGACTCCTTTCTTCCTTCTTTCCTTCCATAAAGTTTTTGATTTTATAGTTTCTACAGTTAAATCTTTCCCACTGCTGCCTGGTTTTTAATATTCTTTCTTTACAAAATGAATTTAAACGACCCAGATCTCTGTGAGGTTGAGTCGGGGGGTGGGAGGGGGGAGTCTGACATTTCTACATCCAACGTGTGTGTGTAGGAACCCTGACACCGGAATGACACCATAGGGCGGGGATGTAATCTTATCTTGAAACCAGTACAAGCTGCACTGCGAAAGCTTAGAGGGAATGCCCAAAACAAACACTTCAGATAACAACTGACCCCCGGCGCCATGGCGATGACCTCTTTGTAGAAGTGCTTCGCCTGATCCTGGGTGTCTGCAGAGCGTGAGAAGGCCCGAGCCAGACCGAGCCGCGATACATGAGACCTGGGGTTCAATGGGCCCGACGCGCTGGCTGTGTTTTCTACTGGAGGGACTACACACATAATGACACTGAGTTACATATTAGGTTTCACTGGGAGAAACACATAAAAGTCAAGTATTTTATTTATTTATCTATCTATTTATTTATATATCTAATGAGTTCCTGCATATAAAACAGTGAAATTGTGTTTTAAAAATATTCAGCTATACATATATATATATATATATATATATATTTTTTTTTTTTTTTTTTTTTTTTTTAAAGGAAATCAAAAAAACGGGTTTAATCCCTTTTTTAAAATCTCACTTTAACTTCCCCGCCT